GTTTGCCATTAAAATTTTAAAATGTGCTCATGTCACGCTTCATCATCAAAACATAACTGCTCCGAGCTATGACATTTCCATAACAGATTGGAGGGCGAGACCCCCAACACGGGAGTGATTTCCTCCATGTCTTTTAAACCACCCCTTTGTTCAGAAGGCCCTGATTTCAATATTCAAATGCGACTCAGCGGGGCGGTGAAGCAGCGAACGAGACGCTGACTCTGAGGCAATCAGCAGAGAGGTGCGGTTGGAGCTTTCTATAAGGATACAGATGGATGGGTTCACCTAACTGCCCCTGGTCAAAAGGAGGAAGATGTCCTGTTTCTCATCCAGACTCACAACAGGTCAGTCAGGGGTCAGAGCCGAAGGAAAAGGCACCCCGTACTTCCTACAACATCTGTCAGTGAAAAACAATTACAACACTGACAGGTCACTGGTACAGGTTCGCTGGTAGTAAGTAAGTAGAAATAAAGTCTCATTTAAAAGCACAGAGTTCTACTACAAAAGGTACAGCAAATAGGTGACATATTATGATGGAAAATTCTGTAATAATAACACAGCTTCTCATTTGAATTCACGTGTAAAGAAATAAAATGTTGCTGTTTGCACCAATGTCAATGGATTAACAGCTACAAATGACAGTAGGTGGACAGTGAACATATTTTAAAACACCAATGAGTGCAGAATGTGCAGAATGAACATGCACTGAAATGTAAAGCCCAATTTAAAGTGAGAAATCACAGCACTTGGCAAAGTAATCACTGAGTCACTGGTATTGTTTAGCAACCTCCCACAGATATGTTATGGTCATTCTGTGATATGAGACTGTAAAAACATTATTTATTGCCCCTTTAAGATTAATGCAGGACCATGCTAATTTTTATAATTTTATCATTTTCATTATGGATTATTCTATCAGTTATTCTCCTGATTGACTATTTGTTTGACTTAAAATTTCATAAACACCACACTTGTGTGAAATTGCTTTTTGTGTTTGATCAACAGTCCGAAAACCCAAAGATATTCAGATATTCATGTCACATAAGAAGCACAGTTAAAGAACTGTAACTAGGTAATGCTAGGCACTTTTGCCTGAAAACACCCCAGACAATGATCGAAATAGCTACTGATTCATTTTATTTACAAATCAATTAAACATATAATCATTTCAGCTCTAATCAAATGACGACCATTGGTAAGTACAGTAATAATTCAATTCAGGCAAATTTCAGTTCATTCTGATTCTGTTTTTCAGTGTATCTTGGTGTCAGTGTGAGGCTGTGAAATCATATTGTGAACGCAATATATGTTTCTGTTATCTGGTTTTCGGTCAGATTATAAAATCTGAGTTTATGGCAGAGCTCCAGTCTGATGGGGTCCATCATCCCTGCACATACACGATCTGCATAAAAACTCCCATGTCAACATATACTGCAGCAATTCTCAGAGGATGGAGAGCCTCATGTTTTGAGAGGGGGAGTGCAGCATGTGCTCTTCCCAGCATCTCATCATCCTGACCAGGCTCGCACAGCTGCGCCTACACAAAGCCACACATAGAGGCATCTTTCTAAATGCCAAAGACGCTTTTCCTGTCACAAGAAATGTGTGCGGAGCGGTGGGAATGAGGGTGTGAGAGTGATCGCTTTTCCACAGAGGCAACAGTGGGTGGATTGAGTGGAGATGCGTGGCCTGTGTCACCCTGGCCCGTTCCCAGAGCAGAGGGACAGGAAGTGGCCCTGGATCCTGGGAGGAGACAAGCCCTCCTCTGTTAGTCTGTATCAAACCACTATCTGATACTTCATTCAAATGGCCAGCAAGCACAGGCCCCTCTGACAGAGAGCTTGGAGGGATATGTCAGAGCGCTTCATTTCTGCATCCTTATCATTCAACTGCTTTTACTGGCAGCCATGGCACTGTGGCTTTGTGGCTTCATGGTTTAACGGTGTATACAGCTACTTCTCTCCTGCGATCACTGATTCTGAGCAGTACATATAATACAGCGTGGGCTACAAAGTAGGCTTAGCATGGGAGTGAAACATGCAACCTTTAGGTTAATAGCTGGCTAAAGTGTACACCGTAAGGAAGGCAACAATAACTGACACAAAACTAGGCCACTGAAACATAAAGCCTACAGAGAGAGAGAGATACAGACAGATAAAGGCTGACAGGATGGGAGAGATGTGAGACAGGGAGAAAGAGTGAGAGAACAGGTGGCACTAGCATTCCCATGCTCAGCCGTATGCCCTTGAAAGTAGCTGGGCACTAATTAGCACCAAATCTGGGCCAGAGCGACAGAAGTTTAGTATCTGCCACATGAAAAATTCAAAGGCCTTTGTCAGCGGGAAGCCATCACAAATCTCATGCCCCCCTTTTGTGTATACAATCTCTTTCTCTCCGGAGTGTATCGCACATCTCATTGGCAAACTGAAGAGGGGTTGATGCTGGCAATACACAAGTGTTTTGTTTGTTAAGTACTCCAAGGCCAAAAGGGAATAGTGTGTTGTTTCAACAAAGAAGAGGCTCACAATTACTACTACTACTACTACTGACCTGTTTACAGTCATCCTCTGTCCTGCAATTTGTGAGCCCTCCTTTTATTTTGTCCCTCTGGCCAATAAGATAGTTCCTCTTTATAGTATCACAAACAATTACAATATGTCCTCAGTGCTCAATGCCATATAATCCTCATCTGACCGAAAGGGAAAGTGGGACACTCACTAGATCAAATGATGAACTGTTCAATGAAACGGCTCAGTTCGCTCCAGTGCGGTTAAATGCAGAGGCAAATATACACATCACTATCAAAATGCTTGTCTGGGAAGCTTGAGAAAGAGTCTCTATAGACCACCTCTAAATGGTTCCCTTCCATCTCTCTGAATAGGTTGCACAAAGGCAATTTTAAAAGTGGAAGCGACTTGTCTTAAAGCTGCCGATCCTCCAAGGCCGGATAGCTGCCGAAACAAGCAGTTCATTGATGCCAGGCCCAGTGTATCACCCTGACAGACAGACCACTCCAGTATAAGGGGGAACAAAGGGGCCAGTCCACAGCCACGTTGCCAATTAGCAGGAATTTCGGCCTCAAGAGCCACTTTCCGCCAGTCTCATTGGAGCTGACATAAACATCTACGGCTTTCACTGGGGGGCATTCATGGGATTCCAAGGAGCATTAGGTCCCCTCTGTGGAGCCTGAAATCTGGCAGTTAGAAAGTACAATGGACCATCTCGTACCACTTTGAGAAACACTTCTCACTCGCTGGTTGGTTGTATTGCCCGGTGCAGAATGCATGCAAATAGGCTGGTGAAACCGCCAACAACGTGTCTTGCCTTTACGGTCGCATTCATCACGAACCGTGCACCCAACGTTCGATTGAGCAGAATGTATTAAAAAAACAAACAGCATGCAACACTGGGCATCATGCATATCCTGGGGTGCTTATCCGCAACAGCGCTTCATCCCCAGCGTCAGTATGCACGTCATTGGCTCAATACAAAATCTAAGGATATTGAATCCATGGGATATAATATGTTTTTGCCTGCCTGCTGCCAAGCATCTTAATTCCTACAGGAAAATACAAAAAAAATACAAGCAAAATCTCTGGGGGATTAGTCTAATGCACAACTGATAATCAAATGTAATAGCAATTTTATTTTTATTAAAACAATTACTGATGCCTCACTGAGATATGTCTGGCGAAATGTTTCCGATTTCAGAAAGGATTACAGAGACAGAGAAAACAAGCTGGAATTCACTGCAGGTTTATACACAATGTTTAGGGTTTTAGGCAGATCAAAAAGCTGCGACAATACACTGCAATGATGGTACAGCAAAATCAAGTGTGTGTGTGGTGACAGCGCAAGAGCTGTAAAAAGAGTTATAGCTCAACTGTCGTGATAGCAAATGTGTCATGCTGTAGCGTCTCGCACTGACTCATCCTAACGTGTCTGAGAGTAAATCTGGTCTAGACGTTAAACTAGGTTCAATTTTCTAGATAGATGACACAACAAACTAAGTTAGCAGATCTGTGCGGTGATCCTGGATCAGCAGTCCAGCTGGGAGAGTCAGGACGGATGTGTACAGTAAATACAGAGCCAATGAATAGTCCCAATGTTAAGACACTAACAATATATAAGGAGACAGCCTGTATGTATACGTTCAAGGACATGGCTTACCTCTACAAATTACAGACTATACAATTACTTAGAGGTCTATGGATACCTTTTCCAATATTAGTTACCACCACATTAGAGTCAATATTTGGGCCTTTGAGTCACGTTGAGTGGGAGCGCCTAATCCTAAGCATATGACAGCCATGTCTTTAAAGTGTGTGGGATCCCAGGGGGAAGGAGAATCTGTGGCATTTTCAGTGAACCAGCAAAAATAAATGTTTTACAAGCAAAAGGATATTTACGGAGTCCACCGGCTCTGATCTTCTCACTCACACATAAAAAACAGCACAAGTACAGCAGGTAGCCCACAAAAAACTCACTGCAGAGCAACTACAGCTGCCAGGTTTCAGTTTGTGTTTGCGAAGGCTTCCACCCAGGGAGCCATTTCTCTTCAAAGTGAGGATATGCACAGTGGGAAAAGAAAGCTCTGTGTGATGTGATGTATGTAGCCTAAATCAAAGGCTGCAGCTTGTATTTTACAAAAGCTCTGATGAGTCACTATACAGTAACTCTCAGACTGGGCTAGTGCCCTAACAGTGGTTTTGGTGAATTACAAAGTGAGAAAATTACAGTGTGACCTCCATCCACTGATCATTATTAACAAAAGTATTTGCAAATATGTCACACACACACACACACACACACACAGAGCAGAACAGGTGATTATTTAGGTCATACAGATGGAAAGATGAGTCTTAAAGAAGGGTCTGGAAAGGTTTATGTCCATCTACATCTGGAAACAACACAGTCTTTGGCTGCACTCATTTATTTTTAATTAACCCTCGTCTATCCGTAAGTCACTCGCACTGAAATAACAAGTTTAGGCGACTTACCCTGACGCGCAGGCTGCTGGAGATTTGGCGTTGTCTCTCTTCTGCCGATCACACAGGCGGATTTCGCATCAAACCATTAATGAACTGATTAGAGAAACCCAACAAGCTCGCAGATCCTTAAAATCGGGGCTTTGGAGTGGCGGTGACAGCAGCAGAGACGGTCGGTGCCAAAACGAGCGACAGGCGGGCGATGAGGGATCCCATTCAACTGGAGGGGCGGCCCGGTGAGGTCATGACGGGGAATGACTCCGGAGCTATGAACACATTTTTCATTAGAGGCTAAATCAGCTTGATTGAAGCAGAAATACCCGATTTGCCTATCACACGCCAGGCTTTACGCGTGGAAACCAGCCGACAGTCAGCTCCTGTGCAGGAACATCCAATCCTGACCAAAACACTGGGATGTGATATTAGAGGCAGGCAGGGGAGGAGACCACAGCGCATTGTCAAGCTCTGATTGGTTAGATTGTTTTACGCACAACCGAAGCCTGATTTGTTGAATGGCGTTCCGTGGAAGTCCCTCCTCACCTGAGGCTGCAGGTTCAAACGTGGCCCCAATGCAAAGTTATTTACAGAGGTGGAAGGAGAGGACACTCTCAAGTAAAAGTAGAAAATACCACAGCAAATGCTCTGTTATAAGTAAAAGTCCTGCATTCAAAATAAGTACATACTGGCATCCCAATATACTTAAGCACACATTGTGCAGAATTTCCCATTTCAGAATTATATTTATTATATCACTGGATTATAATTATTGATGCATTAATTTGTAATCATAATAATACATAATATTGTATTTATTTGATTTATAGTATATATTTATTTATATTTCGTATTAAGAATCTAAATTTGCAAAGTAACCTAATTAAAGCTGTCAAAATAAATGTAGTGGAGTAGAAAGTACAATATGGACTAGAAGTAAGCAGCATAAAATGGAAAAAAATACTTAGTTAGATTTTAGCTCTAGTAATTTTAATAGTTTTAATTTGTTGTACATCATGCCAAATATACAAGAAAAACAACATTTTATGAACTTTTTAATTGGAAGTTGTTGTTCTTCCTGTATCAGAAGTGTTTACTTTACTTTAACTGTAGCCATAATGTAGGTTAGTTAAGCTAAAATGGATGCCTTATTAAGATACATTGTCTGTGTGATAGAGACTATGTCCATACATGCTTTTAGTGTCTGGTGATTGCAGTGTTGTACCTGCAGACTGAAATGAGATAATGGCTAAATCTGCTGTAAATCATCTCTTTTCATTTTGAGATGAATGTTCTTGTGCATGATTCCTTATTTAATAAAGACTAAAGTAAAGTAGAATGCCTTGTATTAAATCAAACATGAGTCTAAGATAAGCCTTTTTACTCCTGAATGTAAGAAAGAATAAACATATTTTCTGTCATTCTGTGGTCCAATCAAAGCTCATACAGTATACAGTGACATAATGCTGCCACCTACTGTTCAAATGAGGCGAGGGGCCAACATATGAAACTCTCAGCACACAAAGCAATACCACTGTGCTGCATAGCAGAACGTATTAAGTAGGCCCTGTTCCTTGCAGTACTGTGTTGTGTTTGTACAGTTATAATAACATCAGTGTCTTACATAGAAATTCTTGTGTATGTTGTATGTTTTTGTGATCTTAAGAGGATGAATTTCATTTTGTCTTTCATTGCCTTATAAGTGGTTCTCAAACTGTGGGGCAGCCCCCCCTGTGAGGCACAGAGCCACTAGAAGGGGTGGTTAGGTTGAATAATTTATGTCACTTTGTTAATGCTGTTGTACTGATTGTTATTTCACTAAAATTCAGCTTGTATCTTTTGGTATTGGTTGCTTGCCCTATTATTGCTAATGTGTGTTAAAAATGTTTTGAGATCCACTGCCCTGTATGTCCAGTGATTTTAGAAATAATCTGTTGGAAGAAATTCATTTTAAAAAATCCAGATTTGTTTGGGTTGTCTGAAGGTGTGATATAGACCTGGCTCTTTAATGAGGTTTTCGTTTTGGCTGGAATTATATAAAATAAAATTGCAGCTATGACAGAGAAACAGTATTCTTCATAATAGGACACTTCCATTCTGTAAATTATTGGCTCCAGCCGCCCCTCGGCCCGCCAAGAATATGCGGTAAAGCTAATGGATGGATGAATGTTCTCTAAAATGAATCTTCAGTTTTTGAATTTCTGTAACTATATATTATCATTTGTCATGTTGACTATCCCGGTTGTTGTTTCTGTGTAGTTTCTTATAAGCCTAAATGCACTGTAAAAATCAGTCAATGAACTATTTCATACACTGGTTTAATACCTAGCAATCTGTGTAAATTAAAAAGTAAAAGAGTGGAGTTGAAATTTGTAGCAAAAGAGAAAATAGGTGCCTCAAAGTTGTAGTTACTGTCAGTGTTTGCTGTATTCCTTTCTATGCGGTATAGCACCATATATGCTGTCACTGTATGTCCTCGACTCTTGTTATTGTGTCCAATTTCATCCCGACACTGATGTCGAGACAATAAAGTTTAAAGTTCAGTTAAAGTTCAAATGAGAAGCGACAATGAAAGACAGATTTAAGTTTAAATCCACTTTAAGGAGAGAAATACTAATTATAAACAGCTATGGACAGCAACTGCAGAAATTACAAGCACAACAATGCTATCTTCAATGTCCAAAAGTATTCAAAAATTGCATATAGAACCTCAAGGAGTAGAAGAAGGACAATTAATACATCATAATTATTATGTGGATCCTGACGAAACATCATTCTCAGAGTCTGCACACTCATTCAGAAAATAATCAGTGGATTAAGGCTCACATTTTTATATTAGATAGAACTTCCATTTAACCTTTGGGACTCAACAAAAGCAAAGAGCAACTTCCATTAAGGGACACGGTTAACTCCCAGGAGCTCATGACATCAACAAATCCATTAAAATGTTTGGAAAAATCAGGGATTAAAAACATCACGATGTTGTGGGATCATAAGGACGCTGTGCTTGTGTGCTGTAGTTATAGTTACAGTTCATTCTGAATTACAATATATTTCAATATATGACTGTTGTATGTGTATAATCATTGTTATGCTCGAATACTTTGAGGTTTGTTGTGTTTGTTTTCTGCAAATTGATATTCTGTGACCATAAAGAATTTGATCCAGAGATATTTCACTTTTTGGTGGGAACATTTATTCAATACAAATACTAATCCTCCCATCCTCTCTCTTTATCCAAAAGTACACTGCTACACAGCAAGGCTAAATTTCTGGGAAGAAAAAAAATCCCATTTCCTCTTTATCTTGTTTTTATAGACACTTTTCTCTCCACCCATCTGTCTATATTCCTTCTCACCCCTGTCTATCTCGTTCTCTCTCTTCTTCACACCTTCAGTCTCTTTTGTAGACTCCCTCTTTTTCTCTGTCTGTTATACTCCCAGTTTATATGTCCGTCCCAGTCTCAGTCGTCCATGTCTCTGGTGTCAGACCCTATAGGGAAGAGCATATCACTCTCTAAGGAGAGGTTGCTGCCCAGGCCTGCCATGCGGCTCCGCAGCAGAAAGTGTGTCCTCCTCTGCAGCAGCCTCTGCTGCTCCTGCTTCAGCTCCACGTAGGACCGTGAGAAGGTGTGGAAGATGGAGGTGACGGGGAAGGCCATGAGGAGGATCCCACTCAGGATGCTGCTCAGAGCCACCACCTGGCCGGGGATGCTCCTTGGCACCATGTCCCCATAGCCGACTGTTGTCATGGTGATGACAGCCCACCAGTAGGTCGCGGGGATGCTGGTGAACTCCTTTGTGGTGGCCATTTCATTCTCAATCAAGTACAGCAAGGGGGAATACAGTGCGATGGCCACACACAGGAAGAGGAGGAGCAGTCCAAACTCCCTTGTGCAGCGGCGCGCTGTCAGGCCCAGAGTCTGCAGGCCCAGTGAGTGGCGAGCTAGCCGCATCACATAGAGGATACGCAGGGCTCTGAGGATGCGCAGCACCAGGCCCACTTTGTCCAAGTAGCTGCTGCCAGAGCCCAGCCGCTTCTCACCTTTGGAGGTGCTGTCCACCACCAGGGTGATGTAGTACGGCAGGATGGCCACCACATCTATCAGGTTCAGGGGCTGTCTGAGGAAGGTCAGCTTGCTGCGGTCTTGGATGAAGCGCAGGGTGAACTCCAGGGAGAACCAGGCCACGCACACCGTCTCCACTATGAAGATGTTGTAGCACATCTGGGAACATGTTCCCTGGTAAAGGAAGACACATGGGTGAGCATGGTCATGATTAGCAAGTGTGAGTGGCAAATGCAGTCACTAGAGGGAACCATTTCAATGTGAAATCCAGGAGCTGGGACGCTGCATATCTGAGCACTTCAATATGTAAAACATTTCTACAACAAGCAAAATAAGTAAGGAAAAATGGTTCCAGTCTATTTGGATAGCCCACCTAGAGATTTGTGACATTTCTATTACTTACTAACTAGTGGAGATTTAACAATTCATCTGTCACACTATTTAGGCACAAAAAACATATTGGTTAGGGTATGTTCAGTTTTTATATATTCTATATATTTAATCTGTTAAACATCTACAGACATCTTGCCCATCATAGATCAAGCTCACACACAAAATCTTTAAATATTTTGACAGCAAAAGACTGCTGTTCTTCATGATGTTTTTTGGGCTGTTTTTGGAAAGGCGGGCGTTTTTCTTAGATGCAGTAATGACGCTGATTCAATGTGAGGCAGAGAGGGATCAAAGCATCTCAAAGCACATATTACATGGCAGAGAGCCTTTGAATGCAGTCCACATCAGTTAAAAATATTATGAAACACACTCCCACAGAGGAGGAGATGGTTTGAGTAGACCCATAAAAGCACCTGAAAACTCCAGTAAACCTGTTCTCACTCACAGACAGGAACACTTAAACACTTTTAATGCAACACTTTGTTATCTGCCTGCAATAAATTAGAGCCGGCGGAGCTGTTAGTATGCGATTACTGGCACTTTTAATTAAACAGCTTAATTCAGACATACTGAGAATACTGAAGTGTGAATACAAAGTGTGTCGGGTCAAATATAATACTGTAACCTAACCAGATTAAGTGCAGTCATTGTATTTCTTTCATTTCGTTTTAAATACCCCTTTATTTCCCCAGAGTACACATTGTGATTGGTTTAAAAGTGTAACTTTCTGACTGATGTTTTTTACTTATTCCACATTTGACCGCTTAATGTCATGGAGCAGCAAGAAGCCACAGGAGTAAATCAAACAGTATTTGTAGTTACAGTACAAAATTAAAGTAGGCCTGCTGGTTCTGAAACTTGAGTCATCAGCATGAAATGTGGTTAGCAGTTACTTTCAAATGAAAACCGTTGAGATTTTGGTTTTGCCCTCCACCCA